GCGCATGCCGGTACACTGCTGCTGCTGCCCATGTCTCGGATCTGTCCCCGTCTGAGTTTGCCATCTCAATCTATTTACCTGGTGATGCTAGGGTTCAGATCTTAGGGGTAATTCGTTAACCATATAACAAGCCAATTGAAGCCTGTTGATTCTAGGACCTTTTAGATTGCTCATGAGTTGGAATCAGGGATGAGTTGGAATCAGGGGTATTTAGTGAATATTTTCTTTTAATCCGAATTACTCAAATACACACGTGAGTTAATTCGGCCATTAAGCGAGGGTTTCGTAAGGATTGGTACGAATCCGGGGATTGTATAGTTTGTGTCGTGAAGCTGGTTTATGTTGTAGAGCACTGCAGTCTGCCGTTTTCTGCAATTCATTTCACAGAGGAGTTTATAAATCTTACTCACTTATTGAATGTTCAACTCTGAAATCTAGACAACTGACTGTATTGTGTAGTTCTGCAAGAACTATAGGTGCTAACTATGGCCAAGTGAAGTTTTGAATTGAACATTTAATTGTGATAACTTCATGTGAGGGTTATCAATTGCTTGCATGAAATAGTTTTGTAATTGTACCTTCGTTCTCATAAGTCCCTTCTAGAACGGCGAATCAGTCGGTCTGATGGTAACCTGGGCTAGCGTTTTCGAGTGTAAATACTTATTGCGTAGGATTTGAGACCACATGCCCTCCGGCTCTGTTTTGCTCCGTTTGCGAGCTGTAAGACCTTTACGATGATACTTTCTGGATTTTTAATAAGAGGGCCGCATGCATCATCATGATGCAGAGGCCGGGGCTACCTCCATTTCCAAAAAAAAAACAGTTACAAGCTTGGGATCCTACTATACTATTCATATGGCGCTATGTGTTTTGCTTTTTATGCAACATGGTTATACATTTCCTACCTCTATGTCTTATGCTAGAGGTAGGATGTCTTATGCTAGAGATGTCTTATGCTAGAGATGTCTTACATGGTTTAATTTCCTTTTCTCTGTTTGAGAAATAATTGTAATCCTAGGTATCTTGATATAATGGTTTCTGAAGGCATACAAATCACAAAACTTTCCTTGGACGCTGATCTATCAACACATATTCATCATCATATCACAATCTACAACACTGTAATCCGAGGTGCTGGTTTATTTCTAATACTCATATATCAGAGTATGAGTTATTTTCCAAATAAATTTTTTCTGTGCAACATAAATATTTTATTATTATTCTGTAGGAAAGTATATGGCATTCCTTCCAAGAATTAATTGTTCTAATGATAGTAGAGGGCCTCCATGCACAGGGTAACGATTAAAGCTTTGGCCTTACACGGTAATTTTGGGAGCTATGCTAAGTTGCTAACTTGTATTTTGCCATTATAGTTTGTTTTGTAGGCCTCATTTTTTACCATATTGGCATAGGTTAATACACAATTACATTGTGGTCATATTGTTTGAAATGCTTTTTTTGTTCGATAGAATTGTTTCAACCTTGCGACCATTCAAAGAAAATTATACTGTCACCCAGGCCAAAGAGGAGGGGCCATATGGGGAACACGCATCAACCACCAGGGATGAAACCCCATCGCGGCCGATGACCAGACAATCAGCCAGAAAGTGACCAACTACCAATACGGCAATGCCTCTCACCAGTCGGAGACGAGCGGACGGGAGAGGATGTGCAAGATCCGACAGAACACCACCAGATTTGGTAAGTAACATAAAAAACCAAGATAACAAGGAGCGGTATTTTAATGGTTGGAGAGGCGGGGATCACTAATAGATCAATGTTTGTATTCTTGTTGCGTTGGTGTTGAAGAACGAGAGGTTTACCAACGACAGATAGTGTACGTATGTATCTTACTTTCTTATCGACAACACAATGAAATGTTTGCATAATTTGAAGTTTTAACCCATGGCAATGCACGAGCATAAGCTAACAAACTAATGCCTACTTGAAAAATGATGTAAGCATTTAATGTATTGCAAAAAATTTGTGTGGACCTGTCTGCTGGAGTGGAGGCCCAGCCAGACTCTCTTAGTGTTGGCGCCTACTACTCGGAGCGGTGAGCGGCAGTTAGTGGATGGCGGAAGAGCCCTGTCGCCGTGCAACTTGGAGGGGGAACGCGACGCCCTCGGCACCAGAAATCGGCCTAGGATGGCAGATCGATGGTGCGGCTCGCCTGTTGTTGGCACCGAAAATCGGCCTGGGATGGCCAGATCGACGGCACGGCTTGACGGCGGTCGGATCCGGCTGCTCACCCGGACACATGGCGGGGAGTGGAGAAGGCGGGCGAGATCTCGATGGAGGGGTTGGGAGGTGCCGATGAGCATGGAGGGGAGGAGGCAGGGACATGCCAGGGGGAAGATGTGGCGGCTAGGACACTGTGGCGGAGAGGGATGGCGGGGGCGACGTCATGACGGAGAGAAGGAGTGGGAGGGTGAGAGAGGGAGGGGTGCGTGCAGTGAGAGAGTGGTTGAGGTGATACGCAGGGTAGGTAAGTTGAAAACTAGGTATGTAAAAAGTAATTTATTTTTCCTCATGTTTATTAATATAAAATATTTTTTATATATGTTTATATATTTATATGTAATTTCGGATACCCTTTTTTTGCAAATAAAATCAGGTGTGTTAGTCTCAAATTTGTTTTCATATACTATACAATATATACTTATATAATGTAGTATAAATTTTATTCCAATTTTGTTTGTCGGAGATAAGAAGTGATGGATTTGGATGATGTTTAAAAAATATCAACTAACAATAGCGTGTAAAATTTAACATGCGTTATGGCAGAATATTTCAAATGCCCGTGGCAACGCACGAACATTCTACTAGTCATAATAAAAACGAGGTGGTACTAATTTGGGTCCGCACCAACCGGCTAGCATCCACTGCCCTTCCGTCAAGGAAAAATAAATCATGGCTTGCGGGGATCGATCTCACGACTCGCTTAACTAACGAGGAGACAGGACCAGCTGGGCTAGCTGCCCTTTATAGCATTTGATGGGATGTTCGGGTATAGAGGGCATATTCGGATGGATTTCTTAGAAAGTAAGACCATATAATAGGAATGTGTGGCAAGACCAATTAACTGAAGTTAAAGATTTCTTTATCAAAAAGTATATGCAAAGACCACATAATGGGAAGGTCTGCATGGATTGGCTACAATATGCATGCAGCGTGCATACGCCCTACATATACCGGTATTTTTTTACTAATTCTAAAATATTTACCGATTAAGTGATACTAATTATTCGATTGATTATTTTGAAACAACACCCAAACTTTTTACTAATTCTAAAATAAGTATAGATTAAGTGATACTAATTATTTGAGTGTTACTAATTCTAAAATAATTATAGATTAAGTGATACTAATTATTCGAGTTATTATTTTAAAACAACACCCAAACGAATTCTACAAAAAAATAAAAAAATCGGCCGGCGAAGATTTACTACTGATTTTAAACAATGGTGGAGAAGGGAGGTACTAACTAGCAAAAGGGCCCGTGCGTTGCAACGGGAAAAAATAATCATAATCTTCAATTGCCATGATCACATTTTGCTGCATCACCGAGATACACTATCACCCGCAATTTTGTGAAATCTTGAATAATTTTTGAAATCATAAACATTTTTTAAAATTCGTAAACATTTTTCCAATTCATGAACACTTTTACAAATATACGAATATTTTCTAAAAGCAAGAACATTTTTTATATTTATGAACTTTTTATATTATTTTCTAAAATTTTGTTTTAAATTATGAATATTTTTATAAACAATTTTCTTGAATAGGCGATCATTCCTAGAATTGACAAACATTTTTCTGGAAATTGGTGGAACAATTTTTTAAATTGACGAACATTTTTTTGATTTAACTAACATCTTTTGAAATGCATGATCATTTTTTGAATCAAAGAACATTTTATGAATGAATAAACTATTTTGTAAGTCACGAACTTTTTTTGAATTTTTAGGATATTTACCATTTATGAACATTTTTTGCATTGACAAAATTTTGTTCAATTTTATTGATATTTTTTAATACACAAACTTTTTAAGAAATTATGAACATTGTTTGATTTCCCAAACATTTGTTTTCAAAATTTCATACATCTTTTTGCGTAAGCAAACATTTGTTTAAAAAAGCACAACATTTTTTGAATCCACAAACGTTTTATGATTTATTAAAACTTTTATTTCAAAATTGATTTTTTTGAAGTCCTAAACTATTTAAAGTAGAAAAAAATAAGGAAAATAAAAATAAAAAAATAAAAAACAGGCCGCCCGCGCATGGGCCAGTCCAAGTGGGCATGTCGCATCTTCTCCCAGCACGTAGTGCACAGTATATGAGGTCCCTAGATATAGATAGTAACCATGCATGTGTCCACCAACAAATATAAAGTTGACCGTACCGAAAGGACTGGAAATTTTAAATTATAGTTGAGCATAAGAATTTTAACATTCCTTTCAAAATCGAATAAATACATATGGGAACGTCTACTGCATATATGATTCATAAACAACTCGTGGAGGTCTCACAAAAGAAATACAACATTACAAACTGTAGGCTCCTTGTAGAGAAAGATCAGATATACTGAAGAGTAATGTGAAAATCAATGAGGTTACATTTGCTTTCAACATGCTATAGATACAATCCACCAAATAGGACTACCCAATAGATTATAAATAGGGCAATCATGTCCAGCAGTGAGCTCACTATCCATGTCATTGTTGTTAGTGGACACGACAAAATATCCGGTGGAGTCTCTATCTCCCGTGCACCACACAATCTCCGGTGGCTCCCAGCTAAGCTAGGCTCGCCCGAATCACAATTTGGCGGACGGCATTGTTATATCATCACTAATGTCTGAATTAGAATTTTGGATACCCGTCGTGCAAACAGAATAATCGGCTTCTCTGTTTCCATAAAAAAACACAATCCATTAACTGCAACTATCAACACAAGGCCATAAATTTCTTAGGTTTTGAATCCAGATTGAACTATAGATTTATTAGCAAAAAAGGCTGGATCTCAAAAAACAAATATTGTACCAGAACATGCATTTACAGAACCCGATACCATGGAAATCATCATACTATATATATACCTCCACATTCAATACGAAAATATGAAGATTGTTAGCAAATCCATTGGGAGTAGCATTGGTACATATGCAAATCATGATACTAATTAGAAGAGCATACCCTGCGGCATGCGCCTCCTCGGTCACTACATCGAGCCCAGTCTTCTTGGCAGCCGCCTCGGACTTGGCTGCATGCAGCCCCTGCCCCTGGTGTGTCCATGATGGTTGCGACGATTCTCCAGTCCATGGTGCCAATCCTTGTGAACTGTCAAGTTTCAGTACTAGTGCAAAAGAAGAGTAATTATTCAAATCAACCTAGTGCAAGCTGCTACCTGGCACTTGCAGTTGACTTGCACATGGACTGACATATTTTAAATACAGTATTACAATCTCCATCACAATGGTAGGCATAGAAAAGTAACTGAAAATTTCTAAAACTCATGTCTGACGAAACTCGATAGTCAAAACTTTTCACTAACAGAATATATACATGGATTAGTGTGCAGCACATCTAGTAATTAAACACAGGGCAAAAGGACTATATAACAGAAAACCTGGTGAAGGAAATATGCCTAGAGGCAATAATAAAATTATTATTTATTTCCTTATATCATGATAAAAGTTTATTATTCATGCTAGAATTGTATTATCCGGAAACATAATACTTGTGTGAATACATAGACAAACTAAATGTCACTAGTGTGCCTCTACTTGACTAGCTCGTTAATCGAAGATGGTTATGTTTCCTAACCATAAACATGTGTTGTCATTTGATTAACGGGATCACATCATTAGGAGAATGATGTGATTGACATGACCCATTCCATTAGCTTAGCACCCGATCGTTTAGTATGTTGCTATTGCTTTCTTCATGACTTATACATGTTCCTATGACTATGAGATTATGCAACTCCCGTTTGCCAGAGGAACACTTTGTGTGCTACCAAACGTCACAACGTAACTAGGTGATTATAAAGGAGCTCTATAGGTGTCTCCAAAGGTACATGTTGGGTTGGCGTATTTCGAGATTAGGATTTGTCACTCCGGTTGTCGGAGAGGTATCTCTGGGCCCTCTCGGTAATGCACATCACATAAGCCTTGCAAGCATTGCAACTAATGAGTTAGTTGCGAGATGATGTATTACGAAACGAGTAAAGAGACTTGTCGGTAACGAGATTGAACTAGGTATTGAGATACCGACGATCGAATCTCGGGCAAGTAACATACCGATGACAAAGGGAACAGAGTATGTTGTTATGCGGTCTGACCGATAAAGATCTTCGAAGAATATGTGGGAACCAATATGAGCATCCAGGTTCCGCTATTGGTTATTGACCGGAGACATGTCTCGGTCATGTCTACATTGTTCTCGAACCCGTAGGGTCCGCATGCTTAACGTTACGATGACAGTTTCATTATGAGTTTATATATTTTGGTGTACCGAAGTTTGTTCGGAGTCCCGGATGTGATCACGGACATGACGAGGAGTCTCAAAATAGTCGAGACATAAAGATTGATATATTGGACGGCTATATTCGGACACAGGAAGTGTTCTAGGTGATTTCGGAGAAAACCGGAGTGCCGGAGGGTTACCGGACCCCCCCGGGAGAAGTACTGGGCCGTATGGGCCCTAGTGGAGAGAGAGAGGGGCGGCCAGGGTGGGCCGCGTGCCCCCTCCTCCTCTGGTCCGAATTGGACTAGGAGAGGGGGGGCGGCGCCCCCCTTTCCTTCTCGCTCTCCCCTTCCTTTCCCCCTCCTAGTAGGAGTAGGAAAGAGGGGAGTCCTACTCCTACTAGGAGGAGGACTCCTCCTCCTTGGCGCGCCCAAGGGCCGGCCGGCCTCCCCCCTTGATCCTTTATATACGGGGGCAGGGGGCACCTCTAGACACACAAGTTGATCCTTGTGATCGGTTTCTTAGTCGTGTGCGGTGCCCCCTTCCACCATACTCCTCGATAATATTGTAGCGGTGCTTAGGCGAAGCCCTGCGACGGTAGAACATCAAGATCGTCACCACTCCGTCGTGCTGACGGAACTCTTCCCTGACACTTTGCTGGATCGGAGTCCGGGGATCGTCATCGAGCTGAACGTGTGCTAAAACTCAGAGGTGCCGTAGTTTCGATGCTTGATCGGTCGGGCCATGAAGACGTACGACTACATCAATCGCGTTGTCATAACGCTTCCGCTGTCGGTCTACGAGGGTACGTAGACAACACTCTCCCCTCTCGTTGCTATGCATCACCATGATCTTGCGTGTGGGTGGGAAATTTTTTGAAATTACTACGTTTCCCAACAGTGGCATCCGAGCCAGGTTTTATGCGTTGATGTTGTGCACGAGTAGAACACAAGTGAGTTGTGGGCGATATAAGTCATACTGCTTACCAGCATGTCATACTTTGGTTCGGCGGTATTGTTGGATGAAGCAGCCCGGACCGGAGTTACGCGTACGCTTACGCGAGACTGGTTCTACCGACGTGCTTTGCACACAGGTGGCTGGCGGGTGTCAGTTTCTCCAACTTTAGTTGAACCGAGTGTGGTTACGCCCGGTCCTTGCGAAGGTTAAAATAGCACCAACTTGACCAACTATCGTTGTGGTTTTTGATGCGTAGGTAAGATTGATTCTTGCTTAAAGCCCGTAGCAGCCACGTAAAACTTGCAACAAACAAAGTAGAGGACGTCTAACTTATTTTTGCAGGGCATGTTGTGATGTGATATGGTCAAGACATGATGCTAAATTTTATTGTATGAGATGATCACGTTTTGTAGTCGAGTTATCGGCAACTGGCAGGAGCCATATGGTTGTCGCTTTATTGTATGCAATGCAATCGCCCTGTAATGCTTTACTTTATCACTAAGCGGTAGCAATAGTCGTAGAAGCATAACATTGGCGAGACGACAACGATGCTACGATGGAGATCAAGGTGTCGCGCCGGTGACGATGGTGATCATGGCGATGCTTCGAAGATGGAGATCGCAAGCACAAGATGATGATGGCCATATCATATCACTTATATTGATTGCATGTGATGTTTATCTTTTATGCATCTTATCTTGCTTTGATTGACGGTAGCATTTTAAGATGATCTCTCACTAATTATCAAGAAGTGTTCTCCCTGAGTATGCACCATTGCGAAAGTTCTTCGTGCTGAGACACCACGTGATGATCGGGTGTGATAGGCTCTACGTTCAAATACAACGGGTGCAAAACAGTTGCACACGCGGAATACTCAGGTTATACTTGACGAGCCAAGCATATACAGATATGGCCTCGGAACACGGAGACCGAAAGGTCGAGCGTGAATCGTATAGTAGATATGATCAACATAGTGATGTTCACCAATGAAACTACTCCATCTCACGTGATGATCGGACATGGTTTAGTTGATTTGCCATCACGTGATCACTTAGAGGATTAGAGGGATGTCTATCTAAGTGGGAGTTCTTTAGTAATATGATTAATTGAACTTAAATTTATCATGAACTTAGTACCTGATAGTATCTTACTTGTTTATGTTTGATTATAGATAGATGGCCCGTGTTGTTGTTCCGTTGAATTTTAATGTGTTCCCTGAGAAAGCAAAGTTGAAAGATGATGGTAGCAATTACACGGACTGGGTCTGTAACTTGAGGATTATCCTCATTGCTGCACAGAAGAATTACGTTCTGGAAGCACCACTGGGTGCCAGGCCTGCTGCTGGAGCAACACCAGATGTTATCACTACTAGGAAAAGGCATGCTAGTGGCGCACCAAATTTGCCTTCTAATGGCGCACTATCGGTGCGCCACTAGCATCACGCCATTAGAATTAAATTCTAATGGCGCACCACCGGTGCGCCATTAGTATCTGGTGTTCTAATGGCGCACCACATAGTGCGCCATTAGTATAGCCTGCAATGCGCCATTAGAATGCCTCCCAGGGGGCCATATGTACCCATGTGTTTTGGCATTCTAATGGCGCACTAGCAGTTAATGCGCCATTAGTGTGATGATCACAGTGCGCCATTAGTGTCTTGTGTGGTGCGCCATTAGTATGAATATTAGGGTTTTTTTTGCTTTTCTGATTTTTGCACAGGTTACAAAATATATTATTGAACAGAATATAGACAGCAGCACACAGCAACATCAGATTCATCGAATACAATAGAAGATTATTCTCCGAATACAATTCATCATATTAGTCTCCAAATTCAAAAGACCGAACAAAGATAAAACATTACAAGTCTCAAGACCGCGAGTATCGAGTTTGCCTTCACATTACAAGTCGATATCGATCATCTAAACTACCATCACATAGAAGAGAGTTGTGGTCATCATGATGAGCATCATCGCGATCAAACTGGTCTTCATCCGGTTCCTCCAACGCTCCCTCCTCTCTCCCGCTGGATAGCGGGCGTATCTACATTCGGCCTCCGCCCTAGTGGTGTACCCTTTGTAACTGTTACCGTTGAAACGGTGAACCTGTCTCCGACACTCCTCCCAGTCATCGTAGACTCCGGGAACCTTACCCTTGTACACGACATACGACGGCATCTCTATGCACAAGCCAAACAACAGACAATACATAAGCAATATGTAAGTATGCAACAAAAGGATCGGAAGAGAAAAGCAAGACATTAATAGCACGATTCATGGTCCTACTAATAAATAGCATCGATTACATCTAAGTTGAACGACTATCCAAACCAAAGAGACATACAAATTCATTAAAGTATAATTACAACATGAGCCAATCAATGTTTCAGAACTATACATCACTACTTTCGACTCGACTCATCGGACAGGAACGTGGATGAAGCCGTCGTCTGTCATGATGGTCATGAAATCGCGGTCGTTGTCACCCTGCATTTGTAGCGTTTCATCTATCTCACTGTTGGACGGTTGATATCTGAGGAAGAACTGCCTCGAGGTATGAAGGACATCTTGATGGATGATGTCCGCAAACTCCGACTGGATGCGAAAGAATTCTTGTCTGAGGTCCGCGTCCTGGACTGCCGACAAGCTTGCGGCCCAATCTTTGAGATTATCTGGTAGCAGAAGTTGATGATGGTCCCTTACGATCGCCCGCATGTGATGGAGGGCGTAGTAGGCATCCTTCTGACCGCCAGGCGGCTGCTTGACACAGCAGAACTTCGTATTGTGTGAGAACATGTGCTTGCCGTACTTACGAACTGCCCTGGTGAAGGTGCCTCCAGATTTGGTGTAGCCGGGGAGAACATCATCAAGAACTTTCTTGACATTTGTGTAGTCTATGTTGGAGTTACGGTTCGG